TTTTAAAAAGAATTTTTTCCGTAGAGGCAGGGTCTGACTTTGTTACCCAGGCTGGTGTCAAACTCTCAGGCCAAAGTGTGTTGGGATTACAGGCGTGAGCCACCACGCCCAGCCAGAGCTCACTCTCTGTGTTGTATAGTTCTGTGGGTTTTGACTATGGTATAATGTCTTGTATATACCATTAGATTATCATGCAAAATAGTTTCACTCCTCACCCTCCAAGCCCACAACTGCTGATCTTTCTACTGTCTCTAAAGTTTTGCCTTTTCTAGAATGTTATGTAGTTGGAATTTCATAGTATGTGGTGTTTTCTTCTTTCTTTTCTTTTCTTTTTCTTTTTTTTTTTTTTAGTATGTAGTCTTTTCATACTGGCTTCTTTCACTTAGCAGTATGCATTTAAGCTTCCTGCAGCTGGGCACGGTGGCTCACAGCCAGGCACAGTGGCTCACACCTATAATCCCAGCACTTTGGGTGGCTGAGGCAGGTAGATCACCTGAGGTGAAGAGTCAGGCTCAGCCTGACCAACATGGTGAAACCCCGTCTCTACTAAAAAAAAGAAAAAAATTAGCTGGGCATGTTGGCATGCGCCTGTAATCCCAGCTACTCAGGAGGCAGAGGGCAGGAGAATTACTTGAATCTAAGATGCGGAGGTTGTGGTGAGCCAAGGTTGTGCCACTGTACTCCAGCCTGGGCGACAGAGCAATACTCTGTCTAAAAAAAAAAAAAAAAAAAAAAGTTTCCTCCATGTCATTTTGTGGCTTGATAGCTTATTGCTTTCTATTGCTGAAGAACATTCCATTGTCTGGATGTTCCACAGTTTGTTGATCTGTTCACCTATTGAGGGATGTCTTGATTGCTTCCAGTTTTGGGCAGTTCTGAACAAAGCTGCTAGAAACGTGTGTGTGCAGGCTTTTGTGTGGACCGAAGTGTTCAGCTCAGTTGGGTGGATGCCTAGGAGTGTAGTTGCTGGATCACATAAGATTTTATATGTATATATATATATATATATATATATATATATACACACACACACACACACACATCATCATCATCATCATATATATGCAGAAAAAATATTATATTTGGGTTTATAAGAAACTGCCAGTGTGGACTTTTTTTTTTTTGAGATGGAGTTTTGCCCTTGTCACCCAGTCTGGAGTGCAGTGGCGCAATCTCGGCTCACTGCATCCACCACCTCCCAGATTCAAGTGATTCTCCTGCTTCGGCTTCCTGGATAGCTGGAATTACAGGCACCTACCACCATGCCCAGCTAATTTTTGTGTTTTTAGTAGAGACAGGGTTTCGCCATATTAGCCAGGCTGGTCTCAAACTCTTGATGTCAGGTGATCCGCCTGCATCGTCCTCCCAAAATGCTGGCACAGCAGGCATGAGCCACCATGTGTGGCTCATTTTTCAAAGCCTTTATTTCTCCAAAGTATGTAACTTCCCAACTTTTCCTCCCTGGCTTTTGGCAAGTCAGTTGTTTGCCCGTCAATATCCTTTGCGCCAGGCTGCAGTGTCTAGTTCATTTGATTTTAATGGTTCCAACAAACGCCCTGCCGGTAGCCACTCTGCACCCCAGAGAGCTCCCAGTTAAGCACAAAAAAGGCAAGACCTTTGCTGCACTGGGCTTTCAGGGAGCCACCGACAGGTCAGACAGACAGACAACCACTGTTCTTTGAAAACAGATCCTCTCTGTTCCCTCCAGCACCAGGAACCCACACCAGAAACATGGGCTGCTGCCTTCAAGACCACTGCTGAACCAGGGAGTAGGGATGGGGCAGGGGTAAGTTAAATATGCCACAAAGCTCTCCCACTGGGTTACACTCACTTTTTTTTTTTTTTTTTTTTTTTTTTTTGAGATGGAGTCGTGCTCTGTTGCCCAGGATGGAGTGCAGTGGCACAATCTCAGTTCACTACAACTTACACCTCCCAGGTTTAAGCGATTCTTCTGCCTCAGCGTCCCAAGTAGCTGGGACTACAGGCGTGAGCTATCATGCCTGGCTAATTTTTATATTTTTAGTAGAGACAGGGTTTCACCATGTTGGCCGAGCTGCTCTCAAACTCCTGGCCTCAGGTGATCTACCAACCTTGGCCTCCCAAAGTGCTGGGAATACAGGCGTGAGCTACTGGGCCTAGCCTTTTTTTTCTTTTCTTTTCTTTTTTTAACATCAGTCATCTTTTTCTTAGGATTTGCTTGGTTGCTATAAACCTTTGACTGCTTTCCAGAGTTTTGATAAAGTTGATTTTTTTTTTGGTGTTTCTATGGCAACATATATGGGGAGTTTTAAAATTACTAATTCAGTCTTTTTCTTTCTTTTTGACATGGAGTTTCACTCTGTCACCCAGGCTGGAGTGCGGCGGTACGATCTCGGCTCACTGCAACCTCCGCCTCCCCGGCTCAAGTGCTTCTCGTGCCTCAGCCTCCTGAGTAGCTGAGATTACAGGCACCCACCATCACGCCCAGCTAATTTTTGTAGTTTCGGTAGAGATGGGGTTTCACCATATTGGCCAGGCTGGTCTCAAACTCCAGACCTCCAGTGATCTGCCTGCCTTGGCCTCCCAAAGTGCTGGGATTACAGGCATGAGCCACTGTGCCTGGCCCAGTCTTTTTCTCACGAGTCCATTCAGAAATTCTGTTTCTTCTTGAGTCAGTTTTGGTAATTTGTATCTTTCTATCAATTTCCCCATTTTAATCTGTTATGTAATTTGTTGTATCTAATTTAAATAACTAAGTTAATGTATCTTAGGTTCTCTAACTTGTTAATTATCTGAATACAGTTGTTTATAGTATTCTTTTGTAATCCTTTTTATTTTTTCTAAGGTCATTCGTGATGTGTCTCCTTTAATTCCTAATTACAATCCTGAGTCTTTTTTCTCTCTCTTTTCCTTACAGTATTTTAAAGCAAACCCTGCTCCCCTACCCCATTTTGGGGGGAATGAATTCTACTAGTTTAGATATTACGTGGTTTATTTTTCTTCTCTGGGTGATTATACTTAGATTCTTTTAGTGTGCAGACTTAAAAGTATGAAGTTATCATTACCTCTTCCTTTTTTCCAAATGACTCAAAACTTTTGGTCATTTTCTGGACCAAGGTCTGTAAGGTAGATTCTTAGGCCTTGTGGGTAAAAGTCTATAAGCTCCCAGGCTGAAGTGATCCTCCTGCCTCAGCCTTCGGCATAGCTGGGACTATAGATAGACGCCACCACACCTGGTGGTATTTAATTTATTAATAAAAATTAAATATTTTAATTTTTTGTAGAAGCCAGTCTTGCTGTGTTGCCCAAGCTGGTCTCATACTCTTGGCCTCAAGCAATCTTCCTTCCTCTGCCTCTCAAAGTGTTGGAGTTACAGGTGTGAGCCATGGCACCCAGCCTCCTCCCTCCCTCCCTCCCTCCCTCATGCTTGTATGTTGAGCGCTGTGCTGGCTGACTTTTCCTGAGTCAGTTGATGATATTGTTATGTTCTAGGCTTGTTTCTGTTGAGAAGTTTGCTATCAGGCTATTTGTCATTCTTCTGGTAGACTTGTAGAGTGCTCGGCTTTGTCATTTTTCATTGTCCTGTTTTTCTTTAGTTCTTGGGGGTGCTTTTCTAGGGTTGCATGCAGGTTTTCATTTATTTAGTTTTCCTGTGGATTGTTCAGCTCTTCCAGGGCCCCAGGCCTCCGTGTCCTGGGAACTGGAGGCCCTGTTTCCCTTTCCCACGTGTCTATTGTCATCCCAGCTCCTAGCCTGCAGGGCAGCATTCTATAATACATAATATGAGCCATACAGAATTTAAAATTTCCCAGAAGCCACATTAAAAAGGTAAGCAGATGACATTAACTTTAATAACATGTTGCATTTAGCTCATTATATTAAACATATTATCATTCCAGGCCGGGCATGGTGGCTCATGCCTGTAATCCCAACAATTTGGGAGGCTGAGGTGGGCAGATCACCTGAGGTCAGGAGTTTAAGACCAGCCTGGGCAACATGGTGAAACCCCATCTCCATTAAAGATTTAAAAATTAGCCAGGTATGGTGGTGTGTGCCTATAATCCCAGCTACTCAGGAGTCTGAGGCAGGAGAATCACTTGAACCCAGGAGGCAGAGGTTGCAGTGAGCTGAGATCGTGCCACTGCACTCCAGCCCAGGTGACAGTGCGAGACTCCGTCTCAAAAAAAAAAAAAAAAAAAAAAAAGAGAAAAAATATTATCATTCCACATTTAATCTATATAGAAACTTACTAAATTTACATGTTTTTGTTACTGAGTCTTCCAAATCCAGGCTGTATTTTACACTCCCAGCATGTCTCAGTTTGGGGCAGTCACATTTCAAGAGCTTCACACGACCATGTGCATTGGGGTATGCCTATGATCCCAGCACTTTGGGAGGCCAAGGTGGGAGGATTGCTTGAGGCCAGGAATTCGAGACCAGCATGGGCAACAGAGTGAGACCCTGTATCTTAGAAATTATCAATTTTTGATTTGATATCTGTAAAAAATAATAGGAAAAAAAGAGCTATCAAGTACTTCATAGCCACATGGAACTAGTGGCTGCCGTATTGGACAAATGGCTCTAGGCCCTGTAGCTGATTCTGATTTTCCCCTGGGGCCTATGTGAGCTTACACCTCCAGCACTGAGCTGTCTTGTTGCTACTGGCACTTGGGATTTTTTTCCTGCCTTTTGACCTAGGCCAGGTGTTAAAAAATGATCTTTTGTCATACATGTCTACGTTTATAGCTGGAGGAAGACGTTAGTTCAGTCCACCATGTCACTGGAAGTACTTTTATTTATTCCTTACAACAACCTAGTGAAGGAGGTACCTGTAGGTCCAATTTACAGATGAGGCACCTGGGGCTCATGGAGCTTAAGTGACTTGCTCAAAGTCACATGGCTGTCATGTGGCAGAGAAGAGACCCAGATCGACCAAGGTCTGCTTGAATTGCAAGTCCACGCTCTGCCCACCGTGCTGTTTTGCCCCCTCATAACCTGCATTCTTCCTGCTTTATTTTCAGGAATTAGTTGCCATCAAGGGCTCTCTCCTCCCTGTCTCCTTACACGGTTCTGCTTATCTGGACAGTAGCTCTTGGCCAAGACCTGGCAGTGGAGAGCCATGGACCAGTGCAGCCTTGGGGACGAGGGTACCCTCCCATCAGAAATGCACCTCCCTTCGTTTTCCGAGAGCCCAGGGCTCCACTGCAGTGACACCCTCAGCCGGGCTCTGGGTCCCAGCCCTCGAGACCTGCTCTACACTGGCCTGAGTGGTTTGGACTCGGACCCCAGCCTCCCAACACCTGACATGCCCAGTGAGGCGCTTGAGGACAACTTAGACACCGTGTCCTATTCGGGGAAGGACAGTGATTCTGTGAAGCTGCTGGAAGAGTATGCAGACTCGGAGCCTCAGGCATCCTTACAAGGTGAGACCGTCACCTGGGTAGAAGGGCCCTGCGGGCTGTTGGGCCGTTACTGTGGCGCGAGGGACTGATTCTGCGTGGACTGGTTAACAAAAGTTTTCCCTCCTACAGGTGACTTAGGGAACAGTCACTATTTTTTTCCGCCTTGGGAATTATTCCCCAATTTTTTGTTGTTGTTGTTGGAGTCTCACTCTCTCCCAGGCTGGAGTGCAGTGGTGCAATCTCAGTTCACTGCAACTTCCAGGTTCAAGCAATTCTCCAGCCTCAGCCTCCTGAGTAGCTGGGATTACAGGCACCTGCCACCACGCCTGGCTAATTTTTGTATTTTTAGTAGAGACAGGGTTTGACCATGTTGGCCAGGCTGGTCTCGAACTCCTGACCTCAAGTGATCCTCCCACCTTAGCCTCCCAAAATGCTGGAATTATAGGCATGAGCCACCATGCCCAGCCCCCAATTCTTAGTAAACGAAGCAGAACCCTCATTCTAGGGAATAATGTTCAGAAACTTAGGTATTTGGGGATATCCTTAATTTTTGTGTGATGTGTGGGCAGATATTAGCATTTATGACGACTTTCCTTCCCATTACCACATCCTCGAGGCTCATTTCGCTTTTCCAGAGGGAACTGGTGTGCTCTCCCTTCTGATCTTGGGTTGTCAAGACGTTCCTAGACCCCAGTGTCTTCATCCATAGAGCAGGTAGACAGTAATATCTTCTCTGCCTCCCTCTAGAGTAAAGCAAAAGAAGAAACTGTTGTAAACACACTTCATAGACCAAAGCACTGGAGAGATATTCCTGGTTTTCTTTTTTGAGACGGAGTCTCGCTCTGTTGCCCAGGCTAGAGCGCAGTGGCGCAATCTTGGCTCACTGCACCCTCAGCCTCCCAGGCTGAAATGATTTTCAGCGGCCTCAGCCGCTCAAGTAGCTGGGATTACAGGCGCACACTACCATGCCCGGCTAATTTTTGTAGTTTTGGCAGAGACAGGGTTTTACCATGTTGGCCAGGCTGGTCCTGAACTCCTGACCTCAAATGATCCACTTGCCTCGGCCTCCCAAAGTGCTGGATTACAGGTGTGAGCCACTGCGCCCGGCCCAGATATTAAGTTGTTTCAAACATTTCACCAGGAAAAGCAATATGGCAGTTTACTCACTTGCAGCTAGATCTGTGTACAAAGCTACATTTATTTCCTTATGCGAAAAACACACAAATAGAATTGGCTGGGTGTGTGAAAGGATTTCCACTTTTCCAAGGATTTGGAGAGTATATTTCTGATTGTCCTTCCAAGAGAACCGGTGATGGCATGGTCATAAAGCCCTGCTCATCGTGGTCACGATGCTCTGGAAGGGCTTCAGCCTGTCCCTGCACGTGTGGCACCAGGTCCGGGTGCTGTATTGCAGGGCTTCCATTCCCCTCACTTGCTCCTGACCCTTGTTTCCTTTGTGTGGAAAGCTGCTGAGGTCAGAGCAAGAGTTCTTGTGAGACATTGCAAGGCCACCATGGTTCTAAGAGATGTGGAGTGCCTTGGCCCCGCTTTGTGCTTGGTTGCCCCGGCTGCATATAACCTGTGCTTTCTCCCTCTGTTTAGACCTGGGCCTAGGCGTGCTGAAGGCTAAAGAGGCTGACGATGGAGGAAGGGCCACCTCGGGGAGCGCCCGGAAAGGAAAGCGGCAGCACAGTTCCCCTCAGCACCCGCTTCTGGACTGCAGCCTGTGCGGGAAGCTGTTCAGCAGCGCCAGCTCTCTGAGCAAGCACTACCTGACGCACAGTCAGGAGAGGAAGCACGTCTGCAAAATCTGCAGCAAGGCCTTCAAGCGCCAGGACCACCTGTACGTAGAGTCGGGTCAGAAACACGTCTGCTCAGGGGCTGGGGGTGGCCACGCGTTCCTGAGTCGTCTTCCTATAGTCGTCTTCCTGAGATCAACCTGCCTCATCCTCTGTTGGCTCTTCCAGACATGTATAACCTCTGCTCAGCCACAGCCACTTTTTTTTTTGAGACGAAGTCTCACTCTGTCACCCAGGCTGAAGTGCAGCATGATCTCCGCTCACTGCAACCTCTGCCTCCCAGGTTCAAGCAATTCTCCTACCTCAGCCTCATGAGTAGCTGGGATTACAGGTGCCCACAACCATGCCCAGGTAATTTTTGTATTATTTTTAGTAGAGACAGGGTTTCACCATGTTGGCCAGGCTGGTCACTCCTGACCTCAAGTGATCCACCTGTCTCAGCCTCCCAAAGTGCTGGGATTACAGGTGTGAGCCACTGCGCCTGGCCCACTGCGTTCTTCTCACATGGGAGTTGCCCCAACAGATCACTCTTCCCAGCCCTTAAATTCACACTTGTGTGGAAGCCTCTGCTCCTGTTTGCAGAAGGGCCCCTTGTGGGTTAAAAACGCCTAACGGTTGGTTCCTGAGGCAATTGTGTCATGGGAGGAGTTGGGCTAACTTTATAGAGCCGTGTCCTGAGTCTCTGGTAGGTGTCTGAGGAAAACAGATCTGCATTCCGTGTGTGTTGGGATAGCATGGGAAATGAAAGATGAGATGCCTGCTTCCAGAATATGGCAATGGAGCATTAACCCTTGTATTTTCTTTTTTTAAAAAACTCATTCTGTTCCTTTTACGCTTTGACTTAGAAAGTATCAGGAGCAAAATTTCCGTTTTTTGTTTGTTTGTTTGTTTGTTTTGTTTTGTTTGAGACAGTCTGACTTTGTCACCCAGGCTGGAGTGCAGTGGTGTGATCACAGCTGACTGCAGCTCCGCCTCCCAGGTTTAAGTGATTCTCCTGCCTCAGCCTCTTGAGTAGCTGGCACTGCAGGCATGCACTACCACACCCGGCTAATTTTTGTATTTTTAGTAGAGATGGGGTTTCACCATGTTGGCCAGGGGTCTAGAACTCTTGACCTCAAGTGGTCCACCCAACTCGGCCTCCCAAAGTGGTGGGATTACAGGCATAAGCCAACACTTCATGTCTTGGAAACGAAAAGCTTGTCTTGCCTGTGGAGGAAGGAAAGACAGACTTTTTTCAAACCAGGACACCTGCAAGTGAGAGTTGAAAATACCGTGCATTCTTACTGGGTCCCTCTCTTTCATAGGGGGCTTTGACTAATCCATTCATCTTATCCTCTCACCCACACCCACCCAGGAAAAGGAGCTGATTTACTCATGTCACAAGTTGGTAACAGCTGGGATAGAACTTAGGTCTCCTGATTCCATCTCTGTTGCTTCCCTCAGACGGAGGCCGAGGGTGAGCTTTTGGGGAAAGACTATGGTTTCCTCCACATTGACTAGGACTGTCCAGAGTGGGGCTGTGGGGGGCCCAGAGGGTGAGGCACTGCTCTGCTTATGTTTATAATGTGTTCAGGCAGAGGTAGGTGTGATAGAATACATATTTACATGCATTTCTGTTTGCAGAGACTATAGGCACATTTGGCTGCTTGACTCTATAAAGTTTCAATGGATTGGGCCTCTGTAAATTGGCTCCTTTCTTGTGGGGGCGTTCCAGGTAGCATCTTCTTAGGGGTCTCGGACGGTAAGGCACAGACTCCTTTGTTAAAGGAACGATCGTCCCCAAGTCAGCATCTCCTTCAGTCTCTTCTGCAGAATTCTGGTTCTCAGGAATGCTTTTAGGGGCTTTTTGAAAATAAAACCAAAAACAGTTCTCTGGGCAAATAAGCTTGAGAGACACTGAAAGTTAAACAGGTCTCTCTCTGTGTGGCTTTTAAATTTGCTACTGTGAGCTGGGTGTAGTGGCTCACGCCTGTAATCCCAGCACTTTGGGAGGCTGAGGTCGGCAGATCACTTGAGGTCAGGAGTTCAAGACCAGCCTGGCCAACATGGCGAAACCCTGTCTCTACTAAAAATACAAAAATTAGCTGGGTGTGGTGGTTCGAACCTGTAGTCCCAGCTACTCAAGAGGCTGAGACACAAGTATCTTTTGAGCCTGGAAGGTGGAGGTTGCAGTGAGCCGGGATCATGCCACTGCACTCCAGCCTGGGCAACAGAGTAAGCCTCCATCTCAAAAACAAAAAATTAACTAATTAATTAATTAAATTTGATGCTGTGCATTGTGAACTTCCAAGGAGTGAATGGTGTTTTTTCAAAACTTACTGTTCAGCTGCGCCCAGAGGCCTTGAGGAGCAGCTGTGGAGCTTTGTGTCTTCCTTGGGAACCCACTCCTGCGAAGTCTAATCTGGCCTCAGTGGATGTTTTAATCATTTTTTAAAATTTTATTTATTTATTTGTTTTTATTGAGATAGAGTCTAGCTCTGTTGCCCAGGCTGGAGTGCAGTGGCGTGATCTCAGCTCACTGCAACCTTCACCTTCTGGGTTCAAGTGATTCTCCTGCCTCAGCCTCCCCAGTAGCTGGGATTACAGGCATGTGCTACCACACCCAGCTAATTTTTTGTATTTTTGGTGGACAGGATTTATCATGTTGGTCAGGCTGGTCTCAAACTCCTTATCTCAGATGATCCACCCGCCTCAGCCTCCCAAAGTGCTGGGGTTACAGGCATGAGCCACTGAGCCCCGCTGGATTTTTTTTTTTACTCTTCTGTAAGGGGTTTGCTTAAAGGTGAGGGAGAGGAGCTCTCCTGCCAGGTGGCTTTGACAGAAGGAGGGTTTGCCCGGTGGTCTTCCCTCGTGGGGGCTGAGTACAATTTCTGCATTGTGGTGCAGCTGCACTACAGACTCTAGGGGCCGTCGGGGTCCTACGGCAGAAAGCACGGTCCCAGGCGACCCGCTGACACCCCTCTTTGTGTCTGGCTCTAGGACCGGGCACATGCTCACCCACCAGAAGACAAAGCCCTTCGTGTGCATCGAGCAGGGCTGCAGCAAGAGCTACTGCGACTACCGCTCTCTGCGCCGGCACTACGAGGTCCAGCACGGCCTGTGCATCTTGAAGGAAGCCCCCCCAGAGGAGGAGGCCTGCGGAGACTCCCCTCACGCCCACGAGTCTGCTGGCCAGCCGCCCCCCAGCAGTCTGCGGTCCCTGGTGCCCCCAGAGGCCAGGTCCCCTGGCTCCCTCCTGCCCCACCGGGACCTCCTCCGCCGCATCGTGAGCAGCATCGTCCACCAGAAGACCCCTTCTCCTGGCCCGGCCCTGGTGGGGGCTTCAGATAGCGAAGGGAGGAACACGGCCTGTCCCTGCCCCGCCTCCTCAGGGTCTTCCTCCTGCACCCCAGCCGACCCCGCCGCGGCTCCTGCAGAGCTGGACACCGAGCTTCCGGAGGAGCCTCGCCTACCGCAAAAGGAGCCAGCCGCTGACGTGTTCACCGCCCCTAATTCCAGAGCCGCTGAGAACTGCGCACCCGACCCGCCGGAGCCAGATCCCGCGCTGCTCCAGGCCCTGTCCACCGCGGAGGGCTGGCCGGAGGGCGGTTCCGTGCCCGCCTGCCTGCCTCTCTTCCGAGGCCAGACGGTCCCTGCCAGTTCCCAGTCATCGAGCCACGGCTTCCAGTGGCTCCGGAACCTGCCGGGCTGCCCCAAAAGCAAAGGCAACAACGTGTTTGTTGTCCACAAGCCCCCCGCCGTGCTGTCACGGGAAGGTTCCGAGTCTGGCCCGGGGACCAGCAGCGCCGCCCCATCGGAGGAGCCCCCGCACGGCCCCAGTGGCTGCCTGGAGGATGCGCTGCCCTTCCCTCCCCCGCTCCTGAAGGCCTCCGGGGAGGCCCCGAGTGACCCCAGGCCTGCCAGCGGGGAAGATGACCCCTGGGCCCCCAAGAAGAGCAAGTTCGACTGCGACTCTTTCCTGTGCCAGAACCCTGGGGAAGCTGGCCTCCTGGAGGCCCAGAAGCCAGGGGGGCTCCCGGCGGATGCCACGCCACTCTTCCGCCAGCTCTTCCTCAAGTCGCAGGAGCCTCTGGTGAGCCACGAGCAGATGCAGGTGTTCCAGATGATCACCAAGTCCCAGCGGATCTTCTCCCACACCCAGGTGGCCGCAGCCTCCTCCCAGCTCCCCGCACCCGAGGGTAAGCCGGCTGCTCTGAAGCCGCTGCAGGGGCCATGGCCGCAGCAGCCCCCTCCTCTGACTCCTGCTGTTGACTCTGTCCACGCCGGCCCTGGAAACCTGGAGGCAGAGGGCTCCCCGGCCCGCAGGAGAAAAACCACGTCCGGGGTTCCCAGAGAGGCCTCCCCCGGCAGCTCGAGACGAGACGCAAAAGGGGTACTGAAAGTGGCCCCGGTTCCAACGCCCCTTGCAGTGCCGTCTCTGGACCCTTCCAGGAATCCAGAAATATCTTCTCTGGCCAAGCACTTGCGATCCTCGAAAGGGACCTTGGAGCTGGGGGACATCTTCTCCCCCACAGCCTCCGCAGGCCAACGGCAGACCCAGTTAGGTGGGGAGGAGCCACCCGGAGCCCCGCTGCCAGGGAAGCAGGCCCCTGCTGAGAATGGCACAGCGTCAGGGACCACGAAAGGTGAGAAGGGCCCAGCCGGCTCCCGGGGCGGAAGCTACCGGCTCCTGGGCAACCCCAGGGCCCAGCGATTCTCCGGCTTCCGGAAGGAGAAGGTGAAGATGGATATATGCTGTGCGGCTTCTCCGAGCCAGGTAGCCATGGCTTCCTTCTCGTCGGCCGGGCCTCCGGCAGATCCCTCCCGAGACTCCACATCCAAGCTGACAATATTCAGCAGAATCCAGGTACCAGCTCTCTCTCTCACGTGGCCTAACCAGAGTGGAGTGAGTTTCCTCTGCATTTGTTAGTTGTCCAGGCATTTTATTTCATCGAAGTGAATCCCCAGATGCAATTTTACAGAGGAAGAAATTCGAGAAATTGTGGTTTCCCCCACTAAAAAAAAAAAAAAAAAGACCAGAATGAGGCCAGGTGAGGTGGCTTACATCTGTAATTCCAGCCCTTTGGGAGGCTGAATTGGGAAGACACCTTGAGCTCAGGTGTTTTTGTGTGTGTGTGTGTTTTTTTTTGTTTGTTTTTTTGTTTTTTGTTTTTTTGAGATGGAGTTTCGCTCTTGTTACCCAGGCTGGAGTGCAATGGCGCGATCTCGGCTCACCGCAACCTCCACCTCCTGGGTTCAGGCAATTCTCCTGCCTCAGCCTCCTGAGTAGCTGGGATTACAGGCACGTGCCACCATGCCCAGCTAATTTTTTGTATTTTTAATAGAGACGGGGTTTCACCATGTTGACCAGGATGGTCTCGATCTCTCGACCTCGTGATCCACCCGCCTCGGCCTCCCAAAGTGCTGGGATTACAGGCTTGAGCCACTGCGCCCGGCCGAGCTCAGGTGTTTGAGACCAGCCTGGGCAACATGGCAAAACCCTGTCTCTACCAAAATTTTTAAAAATTAGCTGGGCATGGTGGTGCAAACCTCTGGTCCCAGCTACTATGGAGGCTGAGGTGGGAGAATCGCTCGAACCTGGGAGGTAGAAGTTTCGCTGAGCTGAGATTGTGCCACTGCACTCCAGCCTGAGTGAAAGAGTAAGACCCTGTCTCAAAAATAATAATAATAATAAATGAGGGTATTCCAGAGTTGTTCGAAACACTTTTATCTCACTAAGCCTTTTTTGCTCGTTTTTTTTTTTTTTCTTTCGTTTACTTTCGGATTTGCCTTTTTAGACGCTTCAGAGGAGCTCCTTCTTTTAAATATTCCTGCTTGAAATGGCCACATGTTTTCTGATTGTGTGTCATGGTTTCCACGAGCACAAGTTGGTACCTGCTGCGTACCCCGCATTTCAGCACATTGATAATCATGCACAGGTTCCTCCAGACACTATGCTTGGAGAGCCTGGTCTGAAGAGCTCAGTCAGGACTCCAGACTCCAGGTCTCGCCTAGGCAACATGGCAAAACACCGTCTCTACCAAAATTTTAAACAGTTAGCTGGGCATGGTGGCACTCACCTGTGGTCCCAGGTACTTGGGAGGCTGAGTAGCTTCCCATTATACCAGAGCTGCCTTATTTTTGTTTTATTAACAGCTTTATTATTCAGGTGCCATAAAATGCACCATTTTATTTTTTTAGAGGTGGGGGTGGTCTCGCTATGTTTCCCAGCCTGGTCTGGAACCTCTGGGCTCAAGCAATCCTCTCATCTTGGCCTTCTAATTGTTGGGATTACAGGCATGAGCTACTGTGCTGAGCCAAATGTAACATTTTATTTTATCTTTAAAATTTATTTATTTATTTGAGATGGAGTCTTACTCTGTCACCCAGGCTGGAGTGCAGTGGCACAATCTCAGCTCACTGCAACCTTCGCCTCCTGGATTCAAGCAATTCTCTGCCTCAGTCTCCTGAGTAGCTGGGATTACAGGTGCCCACCACCACGCCTGGCTGATTTTTGTATTTTTAAGAGATATGGGGTTTCACCACCTTGGCCAGGTTGGTCTTGAATTCCTGACCTTGTGATCCACCTGCCTCGGCCTCCCAAAGTGCTGGGATTACAAATGTGTGCCACCTTACCCAGCGTGAATACACCATTTTAAAGTATAGCATTGAGTAATTTGTAGTATATTCACAAGATTGTGCAGCCATCACCACTCTTTCCAGAAGTTTCATCTCCCCAAAAGGAACCCCACATTTCTTAGTCGTCATCCATAGTCTCACCCTCCTCCCAGCCCCTGGCAGCCATGAGTCTCCTTTCTGTTTCTGTGGGTGTGTCTGTTCTGGATGTTGCATGTGAGTGGAATAATGCCCTCTATGGCTTTCTTTTCTGGCTTCCTTCACTCAGTGTGACATTTTCCAGGCTCATCCAAGGGGTGGCAATTGGCAGAGCTGCACTCCTTTCCGTGGCCGAGTGGCGCTCTGTTGGATGGATAAGGCTGCGTTTGATTTGTCCATTCATCAGTGGATGGACGTTTGGGTTCTTTCCACCTTTTGGCTATTTTAAATATAGTGCTGCTGTGAATATTCAGTCATGTGCACATTTGGGCGGGGATTTGTGTTCTAGGAGTAGAATCGCCAGGTCTTACAGCAGCTCTCCGTTTTAGGTCTGAGGAACCACTAGGCTGTTTTGCTGAGCAGCTGCACCGTTTCATCTTCCCACCCCAGAGTATGAGGGCTCCACCTTCTCCACGTCCTCACCAACACTTGTTATTGTCTGTGGTTCTTTTTTTTTTTTTCTGAGACAGAGTCTCACTCTGTCACCAGGTTGGGGTGCAGCGGTGCAATCTTGGCTCACTGCCACCTCTGCCTCCCGGGTTCAAGCGATTCTCCTGCCTCAGCCTCCCTGTTTTTTTTTTTTTTTTTTTTTAAGTATAACTATCCTGGTGGGTGTGAAGTGGTATCTCATTGTGGTTTGGGTTTGTATTTGCCCGTAGCTGCTGATGTTGAACGCCTTTCTGTGTGCTTATTGGCCATCTGTGTATCTTCCTAAAAGAAATGTCTCTTCAGATTCTTGGCTTATTTTTTAAAAATCAAGTTACTATTTTTTGAGTTCTCTGTATATTCTGGATACAAGCCCCTTATCTGACGCATGTCTTGCAAATATTCTCTCATTTTGTGGGCTATCTTTTCATTTTATTTATGGTACCATTTGCAGGATAAAAGTGTTTTTTTTGTTTTGTTTTGTTTTGTTCTTGTTTTTTTTGAGATAGGGTCTCACTCTGTCACTCAGGCTGGAATGAAGTTGTGTGATCATGGCTCACTGCAGCCTTGAACTCCTGGGCTCAAGAGATTCTCCCACCTCAGCCTTCTGTGTCACTGGGATCACAGGCCCAGGCCACTATGCCCAGCTAATTTTTGTATTTTTTTGTAGACATGGGGTTTGGTTTCGCCATGTTGCCTGGGATGGTCTCAAACTCCTGGACTGAAGCGATCCTCCCACCTCAGCTTCCCAAAGTGCTGGAATCACAGGCATGAGCCACGATGCCTGGCTAAAAGTCTTAAAGTTTGATGAAGTCGAATCTGTCTGTTTTGCTTTCATGTCTTATCTAAGAAACCACTGTCTACTCCAAGGTCATGAAGATTTACTCCAATGTTTTCTTTTAAGAGTCTGTAATTTGAGCTCTCCTTGCCTCTTCATTTCTGATGTGTTGCTTCAGATGCATTTTCATCTTCAGGGTGGAAACATCTACAGGCTTCCCCATCCAGTGAAGGAAGAGAACGTGGCAGGTGGAGGGTAAGTTAAGAAGCCCCCCACCTCCTGCATGTGCCCCGACAGGAGTCCTCTGGCTTTCCTGTGCTGGCCAGGATAAGTGAGTGGGGAGGATGCTTTCAGTCTTAGTGGGATTAGGGTACAGCCTCCATTTTTTAGGGTTTATCAAGAATAGTCAGGCTCGGTGCAATGGCTCATGCCTGTAATCCTAGCACTTTGGGAGGCCGAGACGGGCGGATCACTTGAGTTCGGGGTTCGAGACCAGCCTGGCCAATGTGGTAAAACTCTGTCTCTACTAAAAATACAAAAATTAGCCAGGTGTATTGGCACAAACCCGTAATCTTAGCTACTTGGGAGGCTGAAGCACAAAAATCACTTGAACCCAGTAGGCAGAGGTCACAGTGAGCCGAGATCATGCCACTACATTCCAGCCTGGGCAACAGAGTGAGACCACCTCTCAAAAAAAAAAAAAAAAAAAAAAAGGAGTAGTCAGTGGATTGGAGTTATAGACAAAAAAGAAAGAAAACAAAAAATCAGTGATCAAAGGCAGAGTCCCTATCTCCCACTCTTTTCTCCTGCCACGTCTGCCTGCAGTAGCCAGCACAACGGTGGTCCCACGGACTGGACGGAGCCGAGGAGCACTTACGTCTGCAAGAACTGCAGCCAGATGTTTTATACGGAGAAAGGGCTGAACAGCCACATGTGTTTCCACAGCGACCAGTGGCCGTCACCTCGAGGGAAGCAGGAACTGCAGGTGAAGGGGCGTGACTAGTGGCTTTGTGGTTACTGGGTTTCTGGCAGGCCTGTGGAGCGTCAACGAGACTGGTGTCACTTATCTCAGGATGGGGAAGTCGCTCTGGGTGGGGGGCTGGAGTCAGGCTGCACGGCTCTCCAGGGGCAGGCCATCGCCGTGGGCTGCAGCAGCTGTGCCACTTAGGCCATGCCCCAGACTCACTGCTGTTTCCCATGGCAGCTTCCCCCCCCCACACCGAAGCAGCTCTTCCTTTCCCCACCTACCTATCTCTTAAAGAGCCATCTCTTCTCTCTGTGTTTAGGTGTTCGGCACAGAGTTTTGCAAGCTGCTAAGACAGGTGCTGAGGTCAGAGGGGGACGGGCACAGTCCCTCAGAACCCAAGAAGCCCTTGGACCCCACAGCTGCAGCCCTGTTTGTGGTCCCCTTATCGGTCCCTGAGGTTCCAGTGGCCCGACACATAGGGAGCCTGGCCCTGGTGGGTGCTTGTCAGTCTGCCTCCTTCCTGCCACTGCCCCCACTGCCGGGGGAAGCTGTAGGAAAAGCCCAAAGCAGACACCACAGAAAACCTTGACTCCAAGCCGGGTGCGGTGGCTCACGCCTGTAAGCCCAGCACTTTGGGAGGCTGAGGTGGGCAGATCGCCTGAGCTCAGGAGTTCAAAACCAGCTTGGGCAACACGGTCAAACCCCATCTCTACTAAAACTACAAAAAAATTAGCCGGGCGTAGTGGTGGGCACCTGTAAACTCAGCTACTCAGGAGGCTGAGGCCCGAGGATCACTTGAACCCAGGAAGCCTCTGCAGTGAGCCGAGATCACACCGCTGCACTGCAGCCTGGGCAACAGTGAGACTCTGTCTAAAAAAAAAAAGGAAAATCTTGATACAGAAGAAGCTGGTTTGCATGTTAATTCAGTCATTCAGCATTCACTGCACCCCTCTGTGCCAGGCCCTGTGCTGGGTGGTGCTGGGGACACAGAGGTTACCGCAGTAGCCTGGGCCCTGCCTCCCAGGGTTCCCAGTCCAGTGGAGGAGACAGGCCTGTCCCCAGATGGTGATAACCCAAAGTAGGCAGGGCTGGGAGTAGAGGGAGCCCAGAGAGTTCCAGGGGCTCCTGAACTAGCCTGAGGAGGTAAGGGAAGGCTTCCTGGAGGGGGCGGTATGGGAGCTGAGACCTGAAGGAGGAGGAGGAGTAGGGCTGGCAGAGCGGAGGGATTCTGTGGAGGTGAGAAAGAGCGTGGTGAGTTACAAGTGATCCGTCTTAAAGGGCTTGTCTCTGCGGCCTGTACTGGAGGACCCCACCTGGAGAAGCTCCTGCTGGACTTGGGGACAGAGTCCATGGACCTGAAGGTCCCCTGAGTCAGTGGCTGGGTCATTTGGGTGGAGCAGCATTTCTTTCTTGTCGGCATCACACTGTATCTTTAGGGCTATCTCCCTATTTAAGGGCCAGTCATCTTAACAGTTGAGGCTGTCCTCACACGGAGTCAGGGGCTCTCCTGGGGCATCTGGATCATGGCCAGGCTCAGTGCCTCAGGTCTGGCCCAGGTGTGGCTGGCCTCCTTCGCGGAGGGCTCGGTGGGGAAGTGGCCACGCCGGGCATGCGTGCCCTGGTTTCCTCTCTCTGGCCAGTCTCCTTTTCGCGCTCTCCTTCCATCCTGGAGACGGAGTGGTGCAGTAAGTGGCTTCAGGTGGCCACCCGTGGTTCTAAACTCCCTCCTTCTTCTTCAGGGACAAGACAAAGACGGGGAGGAACGAGACAGCAAGGAGAGCAACCAGCAGAGGAAGCGGAAAAAGCGACCCCCACCCAAGTCACTGTTCATCCCTGCTCTGCCCTCCACGGCTGGGGAACCCTGCCCTGCAGGATGCCACCAGAGCCGCCTGCGGTCGCCTGTGTTCCTAGTGGACCACCTCCTGAAGGGCTTATTTCAGTGCTCCCCCTACACACCGCCCCCAATGCTCAGCCCCATCCGGGAGGGCTCTGGGCTATACTTCAACACCCTCTGTTCCATGTCCACTCAGGCCAGCCCTGACCAGCTCCTCAGCTCCATGCTCGGTGAGTGAGGCTGGGCACTCTGTGATCCTGGGGTGGATTGCCTATGGACCATGCCCACTCTCCCTTGTAGCATGTGGTTCAGGGATTGTCTCCCACCCAGGTGTACCTAGTCTGAGGGACCCTTTGCTATTCAGACATGCCCCAGACTGATCTAAGTGCCTTCTAGTGCTTAGAATTTTACGGCCAGAAAAAAAATGTAGAGGCCATTCAGCCTGACCATGCTTCTCCCTGCCCTTCTGTGTCATTTTCTTTTTCTTTTCTTTCTTTCTTTTTTTTTGAGACGGTGTCTTGCTCTGTTGCTAGGCTGGAGTGCAGTGGCATGATCTCAGCTCACTTGCAACCTCTGCCTTCCGGGTTCAAGCAATTCTCCTGCCTCAGCCTCCCGAGTAGCTGGGGCTACAGGTGTCTGCCAACATACCTGGCTTTTATATTTTTAGTAGAGATGGGGTTTCACCGTGTTGGCCAGGATGGTCTCGAGCTCTTGACCTCGGGATCTGCCTGCCTCGGACTCCCAAAGTGCTGGGATTACAGGCGTGAGCCTCCTCGCCCAGCCCTCTTTTTCTTTTTTGAGGCAGGGTCTCACTCTGTCACCCAGGCTGGAGTGCACTGATGCGATCACAGCTCACTGCAGCCTCAGTCTCCTGATCTCAAGCGATCCTCCAGCCTCAGACTCCCAAGTACCTGTGATTACAGGTGGGCAGCACCACACCTGGCTAATTACTTTTTGTAGAGACGGGGTCTTGCTATGTTGTCTAGGCTGGTCTGGAGCTCCTGGACTCAGGTGATTTTGCATCCTTGGCCTCCCAAAGTACCGGCAGTAAATGTGTGAGCCACTGTTTCCAGCCTGTCATTTTTTTTTTTTTTTTCTGAGACGGAGTTTCGCTCTTGTTACCCAGGCTGGAGTGCAATGGCGCATCTCGGCTCACCGCAACCTCCGCCTCCTGGGTTCAGGCAATTCTCCTGCCTCAGCCTCCTGAGTAGCTGGGATTACAGGCACGTGCCACCATGCCCAGCTAATTTTTTGCATTTTTAGTAGAGACGGGGTTTCACCATATTGACCAGGATGGTCTCGATCCCTCGACCTCGTGATCCACCCGCCTCGGCCTCCCAAAGTGCTGGGATTACAGGCTTGAGCCACCGCGCCTGGCTTTTTTTTTTTTTTTTTTTTAAGACAGAGTCTCACTCTGTCACCCAGGCTGGAGTGGAATGGCATGATCTCAGCTCACTGCAGCCTCTACCTCCCGGGTTCAAGCAATTCTTCTGCCTCAGCCACCCCAGTAGCTGGAACTAGAGGCGTGCACCACCACGCCTGACTAATTTTTGTATTTTTAGTAGAGATGGGGTTTCACCATGCTGGCTAGGCTGGACTCCAACTCCTGACCTTGAGTGATCCATCTGCCTTAGCCTCCCAAAGTGCTGGAATTACAGGTGTGAGCCACCATGCCCAGCCTGGCCTATGTTATTTTCTTAACAGCTTTATTGAGCTGTACTTCACATATCTTGCAAATCACCCATCTAGAGCGTGCAGTGTTGTTTAGGATATTCACAAGGCCGTGTACCCATCACACAGTGTAATTTTTAGTTTTTTCTTTATTTTTGTTGCTCTGTTTGCTTACACACAGTCTAATTTTACAGCACATTTCGCCTCCCCAGAAAAGCCGGAGCTCATTAGCAGTGACTCCGCCCGTATCCCCACATCCCTTGTTCCCCCACCCGCTCGTCTGCCTTCTCTCTGGATTTGCCTATTCAGGATATTTCATATAAGCAGAATTGTACAGTATGCAGCCTTTTGTGTCTAGTGTGTTTCACCTAGTATACTGTTTTCAGAGTTCCTTCATATTGTAGTGCGTATTAGTGCTCAATTCCTTTGCATGGCTGAACGTGTTTTTTTGGTACAGATGGGTCACATTTTTTTTTTATTCTTCAGTTGATGGACATTTGGGTTGTTTCCACTTAGGGCTATTATGAATAATGCTGCCATGAACATTTGTGTAGAAATTTTTTGGTTTTTTTCTGGGAGGCGGTCTCACTCTGTCACCCAGGCTGGAGTACAGTGGTACAGTCACAGCTCACTGCAACCTCAACCTCCTGGGCTCAACTGATCTTCCTGCTTTAGCCTTCAGAATAGCTGGACCTGCAGGCACAGGCACGTGCCCCCAGCCTGGCTAATTTTTTGTAGTTGTTTTTTAATAGAGAGGGGGGTCTTGCCATGTTGCCCAGACTGGTCTCATACTCTGGGGTGGGCCAGATGTGGTGGCTCATATCTGTAATCCTAGCACTTTGGGAGGTTGGGGCAGGTGGATTACCTGAGGTCAGGAGTTCAAGACCAGCCTGGCCAACATGGCAAAACCCCATCTCTACTACAAACAGAAAAAGTAGCCAGGCATGGTGGCAGGTGCCTATAATCCCAGCTACCCAGGAGGCTGAGGCAGGAGAATCACTTGAATTTGGGGCAGAGGTTGCAGTGAGCCGAGATTGTGCCACTTCACTTCAGCCTAGGTGAAAGAACGAAACTCGGTCTCAAAAAAAAAAAAGGGAATTCTGAGGTGAAACAATCCTCCAGCATTGGCCTTCCAGTGTGCTGGAATTGTAGGCCTGAGCCACCACAGCCAGCCTTATGTACAGGTTTTTGTGTGGATTTATCTTTTCAGCTCTCTTGGGTAGATATCTAGGAATGGAATGCTGGGTCATATGGTAACTCCGTATTTCACTGTTTATGAACTGCCAGATTGTCTTCCAAAATGGCTGGGCCACTTTAAATTTCCACTAGCGGTATATGAGCATCTTAATTTCTCCTCATTCTTGCCAGCACTTGTTATTGTCTGTCTTTTTTAGTATAACCATCCTGCTAGATGTAAAGTGGTCCATTTGGAGGACCAACTTTTTCAATTTCCATGAAGTCTAATTTTTAATTTCCATGAAGTCCAACTTTAATTTCCATTAAGTCTTGTGGTGGTATATATTATGTGTAAAGGTTTGCCTGATCCAAGGTCATGAAGAGTTACTCCTGTTTCCTTCTAAGAGTTTTGTAATTTTGACTCTTATACTTAGGTCTGTATTCAGTCTGAAGATAACTTTTATATATCACATGAGATAAAGCTATGAATTCACTTTTTTGCATGTATATATCCAGTGCTTCCAGTAGCATTATTTGAAGACTTCCTATTGAATTGACTCAGCACAATTCAGAGTTAGAAATCAATTGACCATACACATGTGGGTTTATTTCTGGGTGTTCAGTTCTTTTTTTTTTTTTTTTTTTGAGACAGATTCTTGCTCTATTGCCAGGCTGAAGTGCCGGGGCGCAATCTCGGCTCACTGCAACCTTCGCCTCTTGGATTCAAGCGATTCTTCCGCCTCAGCCTCCCGAGTAGCTGGGACCACAGGCACGTGCCACCATGCCCGGCTATTTTTTGTATTTTTAGTAGAGATGGGGTTTCACCATGTTGGCCAGGATGGTCTCGATCTCTTGACCTCGTGATCCACCCACCTCGGCCTCCCAAAGTGCTGGAATTACAGGCATGAGCCTCTGCGCCTGGCCCTGGGTGTTCAGTTCTATTGCATTGATTTGTATGCATATCCTTATGCCAGTATTACAGTTTTGATCACAGTAGTAGTTTGTAAGTTCTGGGGTTTTTTGGTAATTTTGAAGGGTTGTTTTTGTTTTTGTTTTTGAGACAGTGTCTCGCTCTGTTGCCCAGGCTGGAGTACAGTGGCATGATCTTGGCTCACTGCAGCCTCTAACTCCTGAGTTCAAGCAGTCCTCCCACCTCAGCCTCCTGAGGTGCTGGGATTACAGGAGTGCACCACCATGCCAGGCTAATTTTTGTATTTTTAATAGAGACGGGGTTTCATTATGTTGGCCAGTCTGGTCTCAAACTCCTGACATCAGGTGATCTGTCCGCCTCAGCCTCTCAAAGTGCTAGGATTACAGGCGTGGCCACCGTGCCCAGCCTATTTCTTTAGATATTTCTTTCTGTGCCTTTCCCCTTTCCATCTGCTACTCCTGTTACATGTAGTTGCTGCACTTAATGTATCCCTCATTTCTCTGAGGCTCTCTTTATTTCGCTTCATTCCGTTTCTCTTTGTTCTTCAGATTCCATAGTCTCTACTGCTCTGACTTCAAGCTAACTGACTGTTTTCTTCCTACCAACTCAAACCTATTGAGCCCCATTTTGGTTATTTTACTTTTTTTTCCTCAGCAGCTTCACTTGCCAATATTTTGCCTTCTAACCCCAGAATTCCCATTTGGTTCTCTCTTTTTAATAATTTCTATATCTTAATGATATTCTGTCTATGATGAGAAATTGTCCTTATGCCTTCCATTACTTCTTTTTTTTTTTTTTTTTTTTTTGTTCGTTTATTTGTTTTGAGACGGAGTTTCGCTCTTGTTACCCAGGCTGGAGTGCAATGGCGCGATCTCGGCTCACCGCAACCTCTGCCTCCTGGGTTCAGGCAATTCTCCTGTCTCAGCCTCCTAAGTAGCTGGGATTACAGGCACGCGCCACCACGCCCAGCTAGTTTTTTGTATTTTTAGTAGAGACAGGGTTTCACCATGTTGACCAGGATGGTCTTGATCTCTGGACCTCGTGATCCACCCGCCTCGGCCTCCCAAAGTGCTGGGATTACAGGCTTGAGCCACCGCGCCCGGCCCATGCCTTCCATTACTTCTTTAAGCATGGGAGCTGAGGGAGAGGCAGCCTGGGCTGTACCTACCTGGATTAGAACCCTCGGAGCTGGGAGTTGGCTGGGTGAAGGAGCAGGTCACAGCTCAGATGCAGCAGCCTCTTGTTGTTCTTATCAATATTTAGTTTATTTTTTATTTTTTATTTTTTTGAGATGGAATCTCACTGCGTTGCCCAGGCTAGAGGGCACTGCTACAATCTTGGCTCACTGCAACCTCCGCTTTCTGGGTTCAAATGATTCTCCTGCCTCAGCCTCCCAAGTAGCTGGGATTACAGGCATCTGCCACCATACCTGACCAATTTTGTATTTTTAGTAGAGATGGGATTTTGCCACATTGGCTAGGCTAGTCTTGAACTCCTGACCTCAAGCAATCTGCCCACCTCAGCACCCCAAAGTGCTGGGATTACAGATGTGAGCCACTGCACCTGGCCTAGTTGATATTTTTTAAATATTTGAAAATGAATGATTCTTTTAAAATGAATATTTCTCCAAGTGCTGAATGACCTTAGGACAATTTCCAGAGACTTTAGCTGTTGTTTTTATATATACGTATACTTGTCATGAGTTAATTTGTTTGCTGAGTTCCTCCCTCTACTTTTCCAGAAACGCTACCCTCTCCCGTGGGATCTTAAAGAGGCTGCTTTCAGCTGTGTCCACACAGGCAGGCAGAGGGCCCTGTGGGTTACCTGCTGTCAGTCTTCTTGAGCCTTTTCACTCTGTGTTTCTAGATCAAGTGGATGGGTCTTTTGGCATCTGTGTGTTGAAGGATGACACCAAGATCAGCATTGAGCCGTAAGTTGGGTCCTTTGCAGTGAAGCTGCTTTTTACCCCACCTCGAGTTCTAGGGTTCATTTTCCCAAGGGTTCCTTCTTCCCATGGGGGGTTCAGGTTTACCCATAAAGGCTCTCTAGGTGTGAAGCCGGAGATTTTTCCAAGTATCTGTAGGAAGATCCCCAATTTTCCTCCTAAAGTTTCAGCTATATATATGGTTGGGTGCATGGGGACAGAATGCCCTGGGCCTTGGGGTTCCGGGTAGAATAGGTGATGGCACAGAGCAAGGCGTGAGCGTGCCTGGGGGATGTGGCTGGGTGGCTGTGGTGTGGATATAGACACATGCCGGCTGTCAGCTTGCAACTCCCTGGCCTTGAACCTGAGAGAGAAACGTGGCAGTGAGGAAAGCAGAGGAAGGGAGGAAGTGTCCCTGCAGAAGTTTTTGAGAAGCCTGCATGCATCTGTCGGGGACAGGACATACCTGATGCACCCGAGAGACAGCAGAGGGCTTCCACAGAGCAGGCTGTGTCCCGAGAGCAGGACGCCCAGAGCGTCTCCATTTCACTTCCCACCTCAGTCACATTTGGACGTCTCCCATATCTGTGCATCTGGCCTCATTTCAGACACATCAATATAGGAAGCCGGTTTCAGGCAGAGATCCCGGAACTCCAGGAGAGATCCCTGGCTGGAATTGACGAGCATGTCGCTTCTCTGGTCTGGAAGCCGTGGGGAGATATGATGACCAACCCAGAGACACAGGATAGAGGTGGCTGAGGCTTCAAGGCTAAGTTCTTAAGGGCCCTTCTTTCCCCTCCATTTCCAGGGAGTTTTTCCTCCTGGGTCCCGAACTCCTGACCGCTGGGTACAAGAAGCAGTGTCCCTGGGTGTGGGAGGGAGCTGACCCTCTGCCAGCGTTGCTTCCATGCTGCCTTCTCCCTCCCCTACCTCTTCTGTCACATGGTAGCTGGCCAGGCCACCCAGAGCGGGTGCCGGGGACAGGGTTCTGCTCTTCCTCCTCATCCGTCCCTTTCCCCAGCCTGCCCTCGGTGGAGAGGTAGGAGAGAGAAGGGGAAGGCACCCTCTCTGTGCCGTCTGTCAGGAAGGGTTCCTCCCTGGCACCTGCTGACTCCCGTGTGCCTCCTCTTCCTCATGCCCTTTTTGGAAACAGTGACCGAGCTCTGCAATGTGGCGTGCTCCAGCGTGATGCCGGGAGGGGGCACCAACCTGGAGCTCGCTCTGCACTGCCTGCATGAGGCCCAGGGTGACGTTCAGGTGAGGCACAGCCAGGGGACCCTCCCTGCTCTCCTGGGGCCCAAGGTTCCAGGTGCATGCGACCTGCCATCTGCTTGGGGGTTCAGAGCAGATGGAAGCTGGAAGAAAACCGCCCATCCTCTTCCCCAGTGGCTTTGGGATTGCAGTGGTCCTTATGCACTGACTATAGGGGAATGCTAAGACACAGGCCCAATTCATAGCTACTTGTCCGGGGTAACAACCAAGTACAGGGGCTCCTCTGAGATCGCAGGGGCACTGGAGAAGGGAAGCCCTGGAGAGCAGCTCAGGACCGCATTCATCTACTTCATTCCTTGGGCTTTAGCTTTCGATTGAACACTCACATATACAAACCTCTGGTGCAACATAAATGGCTCTACCTCATCCAAAGACCCTCCTCACAATTCTGGGTGTCAGAAAGTAAATCAAAAGTCTAACTGTGAAGAGTGGGAGAGGAAGGGCCACATAGCCTGTGTTATCTAAGAGCTAACAGTCATGCCATGGTCTTGCTTTTCACCAAGCTGAGAGGCAGTGTCTGGCATATAGCAGGTCCTCAGCAGAGTACATATTTATTGAGTACCTGCTGGGTGACTGTACTGTAGGCACTGGAGCCAGGCTGGCTGAGGGGCTCTATGCTAGCTTTAATGCTCTGTTGTCTCTGTCTTGAAATTCTTGGCCAATGTGGTGGCTGCTCACGCCTGTAATCCCAACACTTTGGGAGGCTGAGGCAGGCGGATCACGAGGTCAAGTGATCGAGACCATCCTGGTCAACATGGTGAAACCCCGTCTCTACTAAAAATACAAAAATTAGCTGGGTGTAGTGGTGTGTGCCTGTAATCCCAGCTGCTCAGGAGGCTGAGGCAGGAGAATCACTTGAACCTGGGAGGTGGAGATCATGACAAAATCTTGATTCACTGCACTCCAGCCTGGGTGATAAAAGCAAGACTTTGTCTCAAAAAAAAAAATACATAAATAAATAAAATAAAAATTAGCCAGGCATGGTGGTGGGCACCTGTAATCCTAGCTACTCAGGAGGCTGAGGCAGGAGAATTGCTTGAACCTGGGAAATGGAGGTTGCAGTGAGCCAAGATCATGCCATTGCACTCCAACATGGGTGAAAGAGTGAGACTCCATCTCAATAAAAAAAAGAAAAAGAAAAGAAAAAAAATCTTAATATTTTTTATTTTTTTGTTTTTATTTTTTTTTACAAACTCTCGTGTCGAGGGCTGACTTTTGATAGATCGCAGCGAGGGAGCTGCTCTGCTGCATATGAAACCCCAACCCAGAAGCAGATCGCCTGCGAATGGTTTAGCGCCAGGTTCCGCACGAATGTGCGTTGTGTGACAGGCGAGGAATAGGTTTTAAACAAGGAGCCCTGTGTCTTCATTTTGCACTGGGCCCCACAAATTATTCAAACCCTGCAATGATGGTTTACACTAATGATCAAGATAAAATCCCTGTTCTCGTGGGGCTTACATTTTAGGAAAGTCAAAAGGAAATCTAGTGTTAAAAATTGTTAGCTAGCCTGGGCACATGGCTCACGCCTGTAATCCCAGCACTTTGGGAAGCCAAGGCAGGCAGATCACCTGAGGTCGAAAGTTCAAGAGCAGGCTGGCCAACATGGTAAAATCCTGTTTCTACTATAAATTAAAAAAAAAAAAAAATTAGCAGGGAGTGGTGGCAGGTGCCTGTAGTCCCAATTAAAAAAAAAACAAATTAGCAGGGAGTGGTGGCAGGTGCCTGTAGTCCCAATTAAAAAAAAAAAAATTAGCAGGGAGTGGGGGCAGGTGCCTGTAGTCCCAGTCCCAGCTACTAGGGAGGCTGAGGCAAGAGAATGGCTTAAACTGGGAGGCAGAGGCTGCAGTGAGCCAAGATCGTGCCACTGGACTCCAGCCTGGGTGACAGAGCAAGACTCTGTCTCAGAAAAAAGAAATGTGTTAGCTAGTTGGGTCCAATGGTGCCCACCCGTGTTCCTGGCTACTCACGAGGAAGGGGCTGAAGGAGCCCAGGAATTGGAGCTCACCTGGACAACATGGTGAGACCTCATCTTTAACAATTATTCAAAATAATGTTTTTAATCGTTAGCTAATGACTGGTGCTATGACGAAAATAAAATGGGGCCCTAGGTAAGGGTCGTGCTCCTCAAAATGCCAGTCCGAGGGAATAAGGAGCTTATGCCAAAATAAATCCACACGCTGTCTCCTTCATCAGGATAGGCTTGCTGTGCAAAAAGAACCTCAGCTGCACTCAGTGGTGTGCACAGTGACAGTTGATGCGCCCACAGACAGTTCACAGGCTGGGAGCCTGTCCAGGGCCACTTTGAAGAGCCCTGGGACGGGCAGTGACTTTAGGGACAGCTGCAAGTGTTTTTCAGATGAATGGGAGGACGCCGGGGGTCCTCGTCCCCAGCCAGCCCTGGGCAGCCTGCCGCTCCTCTTGTTCCAGGTCGCCCTGGAGACTCTCCTGCTCCGAGGGCCCCACAAGCCGCAGACGCACCTGCTCGCTGACTATCGCTACACAGGTGATGGGGAAAGGCTGCCGGGCTGGTTCGGCCCAGCTGAGACCCCTGTGAAGCAGCCGGCTCTGTTGCAAGCTTGCCTCTGCCTGCTGGAGTTCTCTTCCAGGCCTCCGCCTGCCTTTCAGGAGGGCCTGTCCATGTCAGGATAATTCAGTGGGCACCACGTTCTGCTAATGGGCTCCTGCTTCACCCTGTCCCCGTGGTTTCCTTACAGACTCTGCCTAGCCAGAAGGGAAATGATCCAGGCCAGCGGGAGGGGAGACGGGCTGAAGTTCAGTGGCTGAACCCATCAGCCCTGGAGACAGGCTGCCTGGGGCCCCCACCTGCCTTTAGCAAGCGACTGAAGCCTCCGTTGTCACATCCATTAAGTGGAACTAGTAGTGGTCCCTGTCTTCTGGAAACTGTTTGAGTTTTTTATGCGATTGGCACATAATTGGTGCTCAGTAATGGTGGGTATAAAAGGGAAGGTGGTCTGCATTTTGGCCATGGCTGTGGTCCCAGGACAAATGGCCTCCCCGCTGTTGGCTTTGTTCTTTGATAGGTTCAGACGTCTGGACCCCTATAGAGAAGAGGCTTTTTAAGAAGGCGTTCTGTGCCCACAAGAAGGACTTCTACTTGATACACAAGACGGTAAAGTGATGTGGGTGGGTGTCCCGGGCCTGGCCCAACACAGCTGAGACCAGCTAGATAGAGCTGCAGGGCTGGTCGGAGTCAGGGTCGGAGGGCTCCACCTTTACCTGTCTGTGGCAGCACTCTTACTGTAGACAGTTGACAATGTCCAAAAGCTGTCCTTGTGAACGGCTGCAAATGGCAAAGGCCTGCATCACCTGCACAGAACAGAGTCTCCCGTGCCCCTCCCCGTGGTCCTACTCCTGCTTGGTGGCCTCTGTTACCTATTAGACCAAGCACGTACAGGCATTTCTGTCTGTGCAAATTTTATATAAATAAGTATGCATGTACTTTAAAAAAGGTAAGAGCTGGCCATGGTGGCTTATGCCTGTAATCCCAGCACTTTGGGAGGCCAAGGCAGGAGGATCACTTAGGTCAGGAATTGGAGACCAGCCTGGCCAATATGGTGAAACCCGTCTCTACTAAAAATACAGAAATAAGCCAGGTGTGGTACATGTGCCTATAATCCCAGCTGCTTGGGAGGCTGAGGCAGGAGAATCGTTTGAACCCAGGAGGCGGAGGCTGCAGTGAGCAGGGATTGTGCCACTGCACTCCAGCCTGGGAGACAGAGTGAGACTGGGTCTCAACAAAAAGGATGAGGTCAGGCACGGTGACTCACACCTGTAATCGTAGCACTTTGGGAGGCCAAGGTGGGAGGATTGCTTGAGCCTAGGAGTTCAAGACCTGCCTGGGCAATATAGTGAAACCTTGCCTCTACAAAAAAATTTAAAACTAGCCTAGCATGGTGACTTATGCCTATGGTCCCAGTTACTTGTGAGGCTGAGATGGGAGGATTGCTTCAGCCTGGGAGGCGAAGGCTGCAATGAGCCAAGATTGCGCCACTGCACTCCAGCCTGGGTGACGGAATGAGATCCTGTTCCCCCACCAAAAAAACGATGAGATTTCACTGCATGTAATGTCCTGCTGCTTATTTTCTGTTCTTTTAAAAAAAAAAAAAAAAACTTAGATGTACACAAAATTGCACATGATTGAAGTATAAGAGTTGCTAAGTTTTGACATATTGATAGACCTGGAACTGTCACCACAGTCAAGACAACGAGCATGCCCCTCAGCCCTGTATCTCGTCCTGCCCCATGGTAATCACTCCTCACTGCTCCCCTACCCCCAGTCAGCACTGATCTGCCATCACTGTAAATTTGTTTCATTTCCTAGAGTTTGCTGTACATGGAGTAGTAGCACAGTATGGACTCTGCTTGCTCCAGCTTGTTGCACTCAGCATCATGATTTTGAGGTCATCCATGTTGCATGTACTGATATATCTCACCTTTTCACTGCTGAATAACATTCCACTGGATGGACATACCACAGTTTATGTAATCATTTGCCTGTTGGTGGACATTTGAGTGGTTTCCAGTTTGGGTGACTATAAATAAATTCGTTGTGAACATTCAGGTACAAGTCTTGGTATGGACATGTACTTTGCTTTCTAGAGGAGTCAATACTTAGGATGGAATGATTTAGTGGGTGGATGTTTAACTTTTTAAGAAACTGCCAAACAATTTTCCAAAGTCGTCGTACCATTTCACATTCCCACCGGCAGGAAACGAGATCTCTGGTTGCTCCACAACCTCACTAGCCATGGGTAGGCCCACTCCTTTTCCTTTTTTATTTTTTATTTTTCTATTTTTGGGCCAGTCCTTTGAGTTGCAGCCATTCTCATGACAGTGGCATCGCATTGTGCTTCCTTCATGACTGGCGATGCTGAGCCTCTTCTCATGGACCTGTTTGCTGTCTCTGTGCCTTTGCTGAGGTGTCTGCTCACATCTCTTGCGGATGTTTTTATTGGGGTGTCTGTGTTTTCTTTTCTTTTCTTTTTTTTTCAGATGGATTCTCTATTGCCCAGGCTGGAGTACGGTGATGCGATCACTGCTCACTGCAACCTCTGTCTCTTGGGTTAAAGTGATTCTCCTGCCTCAGCCTCCTGAGTAGCTGGGATTACAGGTGCATGCCACCATGCCCGGCTAATTTTTGTATTTTTAGGAGAGACAGGGTTTCAACCATGTTGGCCAGGCTGGTTTCGAACTCCTGACCTCAGGTGATCCACCCTCCTCAGCCTCCTGAAGTGCTGGGATTACAGGCATGAGCCACGGCACCCAGCCAAGGAGAGTTGACATTTTAACAACACTGAGTTTCTGACCCATGAACAGGGTCTGTGTCTCTATGTGTCATCTTTAATTTCTCTTAGCAGTGTTTGGGTTTTGTTTATTTGTTTTCATATCTTTTAAGATACAGGATCTCTGTTGCCCAAGCTGAAATACAGGGGTATGATCATAGTTCACTGCACCCTTGACCTCCTGGGGTCAAGTGATCCTCCAGCTTCAAGTAGGTGGGACTACAGGTGTGTGCCATCACACCTAACTCTGGTATAACTCTTTTTTTTTTTTTTTTTTTTTTTTTGATACGAAGTCTCACTCTGTTGCCCAGTCTGTAGTGCAGTGGCACGATCTCGGCTCACTGCAACCTCTGCCTCCTAGGCTCAAGTGATTCTCCTGCCTCAGCGTCCTGAGTAGCGATTCTCCTACTTTGGTGTCCTCAGTCCAGGCACCCGCCACACCCAGCTAATTTTTTTGTATTTTAGTAGAGACGGGGTTTCACCATGTTGGCCAGGCTGGTCCCAAACTCCTGACCTCAGGCGATCCTCTCACCTCGGCCTCCCAAAGGGCTGGGATTACAAGTGTGAGCCACCATGCCTGGCCTCTGGTATAACTCTCTGAACATATATTAAACAGTTATGGTAACCTTTCATGTTCTTCCCTGCTCATTCTAACATCTGTGTCTGTGGTAGATTGACTTTGATGGATTTGTGTTTCTCCTCCTGATGTGCCATATTATCCTGCTTCTTTTTTCACCAGATCGCAGGCATTGTGAATTTTAGCTGTTGGAAGCTGGATATTTTTGCAGTCTTATAAATATTATTGAGTTTTGTTCTGGAACACAGTTACTTTTAGATTTTTTAGGTGGGACCAGCATAGCTCTTCTCCAAGGCTGATTATTTCTCATTCCTGAGGCAAGGCTGTGTCTCTACCCCACCCAGTGCCCCCGAACCCTGAAGTTTCCCACTGTGGCTGTGGGAATGGGCACTATTCCTGGCCCTGGAGGAGCAGCAGGCACTTGTCCCTGTCATCCTTTTGGATGGCTCTTTACCCAGCTTTGGCTGGTCTCTTCCCATGCATGTGTTGGGCAGTCCTTGGCTGAACCCTTGGCTGAGTGCTTGGGGGAAATTCACTCCCCATCACTGGAATGTTCTCTGGGCAGCTCTCTCCTCTCCCATCCTCTGTCCTACTGCTGTGTTCTCGGGGGCACTGTGCTTCACCTCAACTCCCTAAGTCCTGCTGGGTTCTGCCTAAATTGTCCCCCACCCCCGTCTAGTCAGTGGCCTGGAAACGCAAGCTGGTAAGCCGGGAAAGTGGCAGCTTGCTTCCCGTTGGGGCTCGCTGTCCTCTGTTGAATGATGCCTGGTGTCTTGCCAAACATGGTTGATATTTTGACTCTGCATTTCATTGTTTTGACAGGAGCATGAATCTGGTTCCTGTTGCTTCATCTTGTTCCGAAGCAGAAGTCCAACTTTTTTTTTGAACTTAGTGATGTTTCTTAGGTAGAGTTTGTGCTGTTTTGACTCCTCATTTGTGAATACTCACAAAGTAGCTGAAAAACATTTGGGTGGAGAATGTATTCTCTGGAGTCAGCTCAATGGGCAGTTTAATTTCCTGAGAAATTTTCTTCCTAGAGCAATTACACTTTTCCTTTTTTTTTTCCTTTAAGAGACACTGACTCTAGAGTGCTGTGACGCAATCATAACTCACTGACGGCAGGGCACAGTGGCTCACGCCTGTAATCCCAGCACTTTGGGAGGTCGAGGCTGGCAGATCACCTGAGGTCAGGAGTTCAAGACCAGCCTGACCAACATGCTGAAACCCCATCCCTACAAAATTACAAAAATAATTAACTGGATATGATGGTGGGTACATGTAATCCCAGCTACTCAGGAGGCTGAGGCGGGAGAATCACTTGAACCTGGGAGGCGGAGGTTGCAGTGAGCCGAGATCATGCCACTGCACTCCAGCCTGGGCAACAGAACGAGACTGTCTCCAAAAAAAAAAAAAAAAAAAAAAGGCTTACTGCAGCCTTGAAGTCCTGGCCCACGCGATCCTCTTGCTTCAGCCTCTTAAGTAGCTGGGACCCCAGGGATACACCACCATGCCTGGCTAATGTTTAAAAATTTTTGTAGAGATGGGGTTTGGCTATGTTGTCCAGGCTGATCTTGAACTCCCGACCTCAAGTGATCCTCCTGCCTCAGCCTCTTAAGGTGCTGGGATTACAGGCATGAGCCACCAAGCCCAGGCTCCCTTTTGTTTTTACAGAAGTTATTTTTAGTGGGATCCTTTCTTAGGGGAGGAAAGGGAAAATGATGCCCTAGGTTCATGTGGTGCACTCAAAACCTCCCCTTCTTCCAGAGTGGGTCACTTCCTGCCAAGACTTTAGAGGCTCTGCCTAGCTGTTGCAATGGCTATGTGGTACTCTGCCTGCAGAGGGCATTCCGTTTATTAGCATGATGTCGCAGTTAGCATCCCTGGAGGGACATCTGCACATCTTCCTGTAGGAAGGAATTCTGGGTTGGGCTGGGTGTGGTGACTGACGCCTGTAATCCTAGCACTTTGGGAGGCTGAGGTGGGCGGATCACAGGTCAGGAGTTCAAGACCAGCCTAACCAACATGGCAAAACCCTGTCTCTACTAAAAATACAAAACAGCTGGACATGGCGACGGGCACCGGTAATTCCAGCTGCCCAGGAGGCTGAGGCAGGAGAATCGCTTGAACCCGGGAGGTGGAGGTTGCAGTGAGCCATGATTGCGCCACTGCACTCTAGTCTGGGTGACAGAGCGAGACTCCGTCTCAAAAAAAAAAAAAAAGAAAAGAAAAGAAAAGAAAAACAATTCCTGGACTGGAATGGCTGCTCAGAGTGTGCAGGCTTAGGTGCTGGTGGCTACTGTGTGGCTCCACTTTGAACCCCCTTGTCCCCAGGAAGGACTTTATGGTCCTCTGCCTCTGTGGTGAGTGGAGACGCCAAGCCAAAGGAAGAGGCACTTCCGAAGCCGGCCCAGTGGTGAGGTCACACTCCCGGGACCCGCATGGCACGGCCACAACCTGCTTCTGTTTTCTTTCACCAGATCCAGACAAAGACGGTAGCTCAGTGCGTGGAGTATTATTACATCTGGAAAAAAATGATCAAGTTTGACTGTGGCCGAGCCCCAGGGCTAGAAAAGAGGGTCAAGAGAGAGCCGGAGGAGGTGGACAGGACAGAGGAAAAGGTGGAGGAACCGGGGCAGGGGCAGGAGCTTGTCTCTCCTCCCAGTGCCTGTGCCCGCTGCCCCTTGGGTTGGAGGGTGGGGTCAGAGGGCGGGGGTGCTTCTGACGGTAGTGCTTCCTTGCATGAGACACGTGTGCCCTCACCTCTGTGTCTCCCTTACAGTGGGACAGGTCAGCACCCTTATGTCACTCTTGCTTCCTCTGCAGGTCCCATGCAGCCCTCGGGAGAGACCCAGCCACCATCCAACTCCCGAGTTAAAGATAAAGACCAAGAGTTACAGGAGGGAGTCCATCCTCAGCTGCAGCCCAAACGCAGGCCCCAGGCGGACCCCCGAGCCATCGGGAAGCGCGGAGAGCCAGGGCATTTTTCCATGCAGAGAGTGTGAAAGGTACCCGGCTTTCTCCTGGAGATGTTCCCAGGGCTCCCGGCCTCACCCCTGTGATCCTTTCTTCTGGGTGACCCACCTCCCTCCTTGCTCTGACCCCAAGTCCTCTGGTGACTCCTCAGGGTGTTTGACAAGATCAAGAGTCGAAATGCCCACATGAAGCGGCACCGCCTTCAGGACCACGTGGAGCCCATGGTCAGGGTGAAGTGGCCGGTGAAGCCCTTCCAGCTGAAGGAGGAGGAGCTGGGGGCTGACATCGGGCCCCTGCAGTGGTGATTCCTGTGGGAGCAAGTCCGAACGGGACCTCCGGTGCTGCCCCTCCTCCCTTCGGGCTCTCGGGGTGTTTGGGCCCCCCCCCCCGCCTCCCCCACCCTCCCCGTCCCCCGTTGGCTAACCTGCCTGCAAACATGGCAGGCATTCAACCACAGGTAGGCAAGAGGAGCCCAGTCATCGGACAGCTCTACAGCCCCTGTCCAGTGGCACCCGAGGCTCCACTCTCCTTAGGTTCACACTCTCCCCTTCTTTCCCTTCCACTTCTAGAGCAGGGAGGCTTGGGGAGGCGAAAAGTTAGCTCTGGGTAGCTCTTAAATCTTAGCCTCAGTTGTGGGGTTTGGTTTCATGTGTTAGATAAGGCCAAGAAGTAGAGAATCAGTGGGAAAAAACCTTGAGATCGCCAACAAGCTGGGCCCTCCCCGGGGCGGGGGCTCTGCCTTCCGGATTCGGTCCCTAGTCTTGCGGTGACTTGTGCATTGTTTGGAGTTTTTTGTACGTGTCTACTTGCAAATCTGATTAAATTGGGTTCTTGAGCCGCTGTCTTTGACTTCCCTGCCTGTTGATCCGGTAGAGGCTTAGGGGCCGCGCCAGGTGCTAAGGCCAGGAGGTGAGTCAGCTGCAGCCTGCCCTGGGGACTAGGGGCCTCAGGGAGAAGATGGGCATGTTAATTTGGACATTCATTTGGCAAACACCTACAAAGCACCTGCTGTAGAATGCCAAACCATGCAACAGGGATAGGGAAACAAGAGAGACCCCTTTCCTCACGGACCCTCCTTTGCAGGAGTGGGAAGGTAGCAGGAATAATCAGCAAACACAAGGTGATTTTTAGGTCGAGATACTGGAAATGCTTTTGACCTTAAGTAACAGAAGAGTTGGTGTTGGTTTAAACAGTCATGGAGCCGGGCGTGGTGGCTCAAGTCTGTAATCCCAGCACTTTGGGAGGCCGAGGCAGGTGGATCACGAGGTTGAGAGATCGAGACCATCCTGGTCAACATGGCGAAACCCCGTCTCTACTAAAAATACAAAAAATTAGCTGGGCATGGTGGCTCGTGCCTGTAATCCCAGCTACTCAGGAGGCTGAGGCAGGAGAGTCACCTGAACCTAGGAGGCGGAGGTTGCGGTGAGCCGAGATCGCGCCATTGCACTCCAGCCTGGGTAATGAGCGAAACTCCATCTCAAAAACAAAAACAAAAACAAAAACAAAAACGTCATGGAGTTTGGTGGTCCCAGTGGCTCAACCTTGAAATCAGGGACTACTGCTGGGGCAATGTCAGAACCGAGGCTCCAGCAGAGGTGAGAATAGCCTGGAACCAAAATCCAGACCTGCACAGGATGGCAGGGGCAGGGAAGAGAAACCAGCCCACCTCCCAGCCTCCCTTTTTAAGAGTGAGTGAGGAAAACTAACCACTGCCAGCAGATGCCCATATGTCTCACTGAGCCTGTGTTGGCTTCTAAACTGATCCCTGGCAGTGAGAAGGGAAATGACCACAGTTAGCCCAGACCACTCAAGACACACCTCCGTGGCTGGGCACAGTGGCTCACGACCGTTATTCCAGCACTTTGGGAGGCGTAGGAAGGCATATCATTTGAGATAAGGAGTTCAAAACTAGCCTGGCCAACATGGTGAAACCCCATGTCTACTAAAAATACAAAAATTAGCCAGGTGTGGTGGTGGGCGCTTGTAGTCCCAGCTACTCAGGAGGCTGAGGCATAAGAATGGCTTGAATTTGGAAGTTGGAGGTTGCAGTGAGCCGAGATAATGGCATTGCACTCCATTTCCAGCCTGGGTGACACAGCAAGACCCTATCTCAAAGAAAAAAAAAAGGCCAATAAACACTCAACAGGCTAGGTATGATGACTCACACCTGAAGTCCCAGCAGTTTGGGAGGGTGAGGAGGGAGGACTGTGTGAGCCCAGGAGTTTGAGACTAGCTTGGGCAACATAGTGAGACCCCATCTCTATTTAAAAATATATGTAGGCTTGGCCGGGCGCGGTGGCTCAAGCCTGTAATCCCAGCACTTTGGGAGGCCAAGGCGGGTGGATCCTGAGGTCAAGAGATCGAGACCATCCTGGCCAACATGGTGAAACCCTGTCTCTACTAAAAATACAAAAAATTAGCTGGGCATGGTGGTTCTTGTCTGTAGTCCCAGCTACTCAGGAGGCTGAGGCAGGAGAATTGCCTGAACCCAGGAGGTAGAGGTTGCGGTGAGCTGAGATCACGCCATTGCACTCCAGCCTGGGTAATAAGAGCGAAACTCCGTCTAAAAAAAAAAAAAAAAATTATATATATATATATATATATATATATATATATATATATATATATATCTGTATGTATATATCTGTGTGTGTGTATGTTTGTATGTATGTGTGTGTAGGCTGTAATCCCAGCACTTTGGGAGGCTGAGGTGGGCAGATCACCTGAGGTTCAGAGTTCCAGACCAGCCTGGCCAGTATGATGAAGCTTCGCCTCCCATAATGATACAAACATTAGCTGGTTGTGGTGGCAAATGCCTGTATTGTCAGCTACTCAGGAGGCTAAGGCAGGAGAATCCCTTGATCTCAGGAGGCAGAGGTTGCAGTGAGCCAAGATCACACCACTGCACTTCAGCCTGGGTGACAGAGTGAGCCTCTGTCTCAAAAATAAATAAATAAATAAATAAATAAAAATATATGTAGGCCAGGTGCAGTGGTTCATGCCTGTAATCCCACCACTTTGGGAGGCCAAGGTGAGTGGATCACCTGAGGTTAGGGGTTTGAGACCAACCTGGCCAACATGGCGAAACCCATCTCTACTAAAAATACATAAATTATCTCGGTATGGTGGCATGCAACTATAATACCAGCGACTTGGGAGGCTACGGTAGGAGAATTGCTTGAACCCAGGAGGTGGAGGTTGCAGTGAGCTGAGATTCCACCACTACACTCCAGCCTGCTAGACAGAGCGAGACTCTATCTCAAAAAAAAAAAAAAAAAGGTAGACTCCACAGTGGCTCACACCTGTAATCCTAGCACTTTGAGAGGCCAAGGTGGGTGGAGCACTTGAGGTCAGGAGTTTGAGACCAGCCTCGCCAAGATGGTGAAGCTCCATCTCTACTAAAAATACAAAAAAATTATCCAGGTGTGATGGTGTGCACCTGTAGTCCCAGTTAATTGGGAGGCTGAGGCAGGAGAATCACTTGAACCTGGGAGGCGGAGGTTGCAGTGAGCGAAGATCACAGCATTGCACTCCAACCCGGGTCACAGACTTATCAACGGCTCACCCATTGTGGGGAGGTGGTCAAGGAAAGGACAGATGGAGGCTGGCAGGGCGAGTTTGAGCCTGAGCAGCTGAGTCAATGGCATTGGCTCAGATGGGGAATTGATTGCAGGGGATTGGTTGCATCAGGGTGTGATCGTGCCTGTGATAGGGAGTGCTGTGTTCTGAGGGGCTGAGGAAGTAGATGGCGGGGTCAGAGGGTTTCACAGAGGGCCCACCTATCAGCTAAGGCTGAAAGATTGAGAGAGATTGAGAGAGAGGTGGACACTGAGTTTGAAGCAGTTGGAGCACTGCAGTTAAGGGAAAGGGCTCAGGCATCAGATGAACCCGAATTCCAGACTGGCTCCTCTTACCTCCTTGTAACCTACCATGAATCACTTTCTCCTGTGGGAGCCTCAGTTTTCTCAATGTATAAAATGGGATGAAAATTGCCCTTCCTCAATGTTAGAAACAAGAAGCTTGTTCCTTGGTGCCACAAGGAGAAATGAGCATTCAGACAAAAAGTTTTCTCAGCAAGGCAATTTTACTTTCTGCAGAAAGGGTACTGCCCATCAGCAATCTTGCCATGAGAGCACATTGAACAAAGAACTGTGGGAATATTTATCCTTTACACATTGGGTCCTTACTGCTATGTCCCATCTCCTAACAGTCTAAGCTAAACCCGATTGGCTAACAACTTAAACTTTCCTAAATAGATAAAGGCCATAGAGAACAAAGGGGAAAGAGGAAGTTACTTCCAAAAGGACTTAGAAAAGTGATAATGTTTCTAAATAAGGAAAGGGCATATGCTGAGAGCTGGGACATGCCTGCACATGTCCAGAACAAATATCCTAGTTAAAGTACAAGGACATAGAATGTACTTATTCCCTTATATCTAACACTTATTCCCTTATATCTTTTTTTTTTTTTTTTTTTGAGACGGAGTTTCGCTCTTGTTACCCAGGCTGGAGTGCAATGGCGCGATCTCGGCTCACCGCAACCTCTGCCTCCTGGGTTCAGGCAATTCTCCTGCCTCAGCCTCCTGAGTAGCTGGGATTACAGGCACGCGCCACCATGCCCAGCTAATTTTTTGTATTTTTAGTAGAGACGGGGTTTCACCATGTTGACCAGGATGGTCTCGATCTCTTGACCTCGTGATCCGCCTGCCTCGGCCTCCCAAAGTGCTGGGATTACAGGCTTGAGCCACCGCGCCCGGCCTATTCCCTTATATCTAACAGCTACATAGGATAGGGCTTAACAAAGACTTATCAGCAAAAACAAACAAAAAAAACAAGAAGGCTTTGAAGGAAGTTAATCTTTAAAAGAAACTATTATTTCTAACATTTATTTATTCTTTAATAAGAAGGGAAACTTTGAAGAGGAACTTTTTGCTTTCCACACTTAACCCCTGCCACCTATCACTTAAATAAAATGTAAATTATGGCTGGGTGTGGTGGCTCATTCCTGTAATCCCAGCACTTTAGAAGGCTGAGGTGGGCAGATCACTTGAGGTCAGGAGCTCAAGACCAGCATGGCCAACACGGTGAAACCCCATCTCTACTCAAAATACAAAATACAAAAATTATCCAGGTGTGGTTTTACATGCCTGCAATCCCACCTACTTGGGTGGCTGAGGCACAAGAATTGCTTGAATCTGGAGGTGGAGGTTGCAGTGAGCAGAGATTGCACCACTGCACTCCAGCCTGGGCAGCAGAGTGAGGCTCCATCTCAAAATTAAAAAATACATAAAAATAAATCAAATAAA